TTCCTATCACCTTGCCACCTACTTTTTATATCTCCTTTCTGAGTTATATTGGTTTTCGTGGATTTTCTACCATTTTTGAATAGTAGTTTATTGGCCCTGTTTATGTTGAATACTTGATATCACTTGATACTTGATACTTGATACCACTCGGAGAAGAAATTCAAAGTTGAGCCAAGCTAAATTTTTGTTTTGCTTTGCTTTTACGATTACAAACAATTATCCTTCCTGGAATGTCTAAATTATGCACGGTATGATTTCTTATAAGAATTCGACCTACCGCTAATGTGATGTGGCAAATACCGTTATCTAAAATTCTGCGATCGCTTTTACAAACTAAAATTGTCCTTTTGTTTCAGGTTTGCCTGGATATCAGTTTATTTTGTTAAGTTTTGGACATTTCTCTCTTATTTACTTGTTCAGTTTTTAGTTATTCATTAGGTCAGCCCTTAAACATTCGTCTTTTTAATTTTTTAATTTTTTGTTTTGCTATCATCATATTTGCCTGCTTGCGACATCTAACTGCCAAATTAATTTCCCAATTTAATTCCACTATTTTAGTCTTTCCGTTTCCGCTGCCTGGCGTCCGGCCCTGCAGTGGCGGGGCGCTCATCTCTCATGAATACCACACCTATCAATTGGCAGGAGCCTCAGTCACTGCCTGCAGCTTAAATCGCGCTTCCGCCCGCCGTCTCCTTGTCAGCTTAGTTAGTCAGCTCTCTTCAATGCAGAAGCACGTATCCCAGCATAATAGACCTCTGAAGTCAGATGGTGCGTCTATCTCAGATATGGACTCTTGTAAGGCCCATTCTTCAGTTGGGGACATCCTTCTCCCATTACCAGCACTGGCTTCCAGCCTAGTTGATACCAATAACCTTGACGGTAGCATGTGTAAAAAGGAACTAGCTGAAAGCAAGACACTTTTGGCTACACGAAGGTCTAGATTGCATGGCGAGCGTACGCTTGTCAGTCTAGTTACTGGAGATCATGCTCCAGCCGTCTGGGTTCAGGCTGCCTTCAAGTTGGTCTGTCTGATCAGGTGGGCTCGTATTTTTCTATTTTATGTCTCATCTTGCTAATTGTTGGTGATTTATCTACCATTAACGCAGCATAATTGCATTTTAGGGCTCGTAAAACTGTTATTTGCATTATCTTTACTTAGTTTTCGTTTCTAGCGAAAGTCTATAATGAAGAGATAGGTATGTCTATCTAACGAGAAGACGATGGATTCCCTTTTGTCGCATGCATTTTGTTATGCCTAGGGCGTTTAGGTTGATGCAGTCATCTAGACTTTCCTCCAGTTTTTTTGAAGACGTGTACGCATCACCATAGCATTGACAATTTATTTTAAGTTTTGTATTTGCAGCTTGTTTACGAAACTAACCTACATGCAGTGGTTTTATGCGGCAACAAGTGATTCAACTGGAGTCAATAGTCAAAGTAGGAAATAATATTAAATTAAAACTAGATATATACAGTGTAGTTAATTCATAATAAATATGATCAAATTTTATAGTGACCAATATTACGATCAAATGAAGGATGATAAATATATTATATGAATCTATCTGAGGGGAATTATTTCAGGCTTTGATGGTCATGTCGAGTGTGCGGAATTTTTTAGGGGATAAAGCTGCCTTGTTATGGGCTTTATTACTTTGATGCGAAATAGTATTCCATGGACTGTTTTGTTCCTACCTTGCTCAACATATACTGCTCTCAAGCCTCTCTTTTTTTATGTGAAGGACATCTTTTGTTTGTTGATTTAGTCACCCATTTCAACAGTTGAAAATGACGTGATGTACGTCACTAGCAGCTATCAATAATTGCCTCGAGCCAGCGTCTCGTTTCCTCTGGCTCTATTATTCACAGAATACTCTCACAAGATAAGTACAATTAGTATTTTCAGTGCCAAATTTTTTCCAAAAATTGAAAGACAGCAGAGATGCTCGATCTGTCTGAGGTCCAGCTGACTAGATCGTACCATTCAATTGTCTGATTTCCTTGGAAGATTAACACTATTCATACTATTTTCTGTTAACTAGCTTTGTTTTCCATATCAAAATAGTATATTTTGCTACTTTGCTGCTCTTTGTAGGAAGCTATTTTTAGCAGAGTAATAATTACATATCCATATTTTTCGCATTAATTTATTGTATTGGCAAAAATTTATGTGGCAAATGGCGTATTCTGGTCATCGCTATATTATTTTATCCTTTGGCCTTTTAGGCAATTTAAGCTGATCTATTCATCGAATATGACCCAAAAACCTGGCCGTGTCGGGTTGTCGGGATTGCATAAGTCACCTTCGGTGTCGGTTCCTTCCGCCGATCCACTCTCTTTTGATCTATTTTCAACCAGTTCCGATGACAATATTGACGCCCTTTTCGCGCCTGGACAGATTCTGACTGAATTGAAGCTCGCCATCCCACAGACTGGAGTGCGTGTATTTGAACTTCTTTGCCGCAGCCTATCAGGCATTTTGCTACTTCACATACCCTCCAAGCAGCTGATTAGTCACTGCGTCGGTCTTCTTGGTAGGTGTAGTTAACACAATCACGCACCAACTCATCCGCATATGCACATATGATAATTAACGATTAAATGCTGATAATTGGCATTCAAATTCTTATATATATTTTTGTTACACTATTAACTTGGTTACCGACCTAGAATGAAAAGAGATTTTCCAGTCTGCCTACTTAAACATTTTCAAAATGTTTATTTTGAATATTTGATGTGTGTCTGAATGATCTGCTTGCGTACACTTTTGAGAAAAGCTCTTTCAGCTTGACATTTTTGGCTGGAAATATATTGAGCAGAATTAGTGCTGCTTTACTTGCTATGGCACCATTACCTTAATAAATTTTACTCTGCTAAGTTGTATATAGATACTTTCCATGATTATCTCTACCAACGGTGTCAGCAGAAATATCTACTACACTTTCCAAAATATATATAGCCAACTACCTCTTGCAGAAAATATTTATATATAAAATAATGAGCACACGAATGAAAAGTGGGCTTTGATGATTCTCTTAAAGTAACAATCTTCTGGAGATTTTTATTTTGCATGAAAGTACATGATGAAGAGATTCGTAGGCCGATCTCACCATAAGACCATGGCTGATTCCCGTTGTACTGCATCCAGTTGGCTTTAGTGCCACATTCGGGTTGAAAGCTGTCTGAGCCTTCTTTTAATCATTTACCACACGTCATCAAAGATGGAACTTAGTCAAGAAGATTGACCTACATGGTATATATACTCATAACAAAAAAATATTTATATATAGATGATTATAAAACGATTTTCCAGCCTCTTAATTACTCTGATTAATGATCAGCATTGCGTGCAGACGTTAACACGTAAGCACAGACAGACACATTTGAGTCTAAGAGAACTATTCAATCTATTCTATATCAATCTATATCTAAACAGAGCAGAAGGAAAGGTACCACAACTGCTTAGCACACATTTGGTCAAAGGATCGGCCTTATTTGTCTTTTTGATATGATAAGCCGGCCAGTCTTCTTGACCTAAGACCTGTGATAACGATTTCCAGCTATGATGATGTTCTCCATCAGACAAACAGAAGCCCACATCGTTTTCATCCGAAACGAGGAACGATGTCTAATGGACTGCGTCAACGTAAACGTCGTATAAAACCGAACGAATACAGTAAAACAGTAATCAGTCACGAGTCTCTTCTTCATACAAAATCAAAATGTCCAAAACAAAATACTAAATACCATAGTCCTGTGCATTATTCATGACTTCTTATCTTTAATGCTCCCAGGCTGTGAAGTAGCTATCGACTTAACTAATTTTCGAAGATATGAGGACCAAGATGGTGTGGCCTTTTGTGTGGTCGCAGTCTACTTTCGTTGTATGGAGGTTTTTTGACCTTGTTTTCGCAACATGGTCATATTGGTAGGAAGACTTAGAGGAACGCACCTAGTCTGGAGTCCATTGTATGCATGATCATTTCCAAAGTCAAACCGTGGACATGATACATTCCCAGACGTTTTGCCGGCATCGTAGTCGGCATCGTCATGAGTCTTGCCATTCTTAGCACCACACAAAAACTCGTCAAAAGAGACAAATGAAGTCGATCCTTTGACCAAACCTGTGCTAAACAGTTATGGTATCTCTTCTTTTCTGGGCTATTCACTTCTATATCCTCGTATCACGTCTTCACTGTTGCAATTTTTTAATGCTTATTCAGATGTAGTGGGGTGTACTGCTTTGAGCGGCATTCATAAGAACCCTCCAAACTCTACGCTGGCGTTCTCAACTCCCCCTTCACCCTTGTGCTGGAAATGTTGTCCAGAGTCTGCCATATTGTTACGCAGTCCTTCCCTAAGTCTTACGAGAGTCTCCCTCTTGCTCCCTAACATCCGTCTGCTATCTCGCTGGTTCAAATATTTCACTCGACCCCTACCACCCTATCTGTGCTACTCGAGGCGTTACTTCCCCTCCCCTGTGTCTAGATGCCTAATTCAAGGCTAAAGCCTCTGAGTAAGTCTCATGGTCAAGCCTTTTATACATGAACCACGTTTCTAGTAAAACCTACTGTCAGCCAACTAGCTCCAGTCTCCGCCGCGTCTATCCTATTTCTATCCCTAATACAAAAATCTATGACTTGCTATGTCCTAGTCTCTTGTTTGCCAGCTCACAAATGTTGTGGTACTGCTTGCTTTGATTAGGTTCAATGTTGACTCTGATAAGACCTATGGAAGGAGGACTGTGTAACAATATGGCAGACTCTGATCAACATTTCTAGCACTGGGGTGAACGGGTGGTGAGAACGCCAGCGTGGAGTGTCGTGGGTTCTCATGAATGTCGCTCAAAAGGGCACACCACACTACATCTAAATTTGCACAGTAAAAAATTGTAACAGTGAAGGCGTGATAGGAGGATATAGAAAATGTGAATAGCCCAGAGCAGAAGGAGAGATATCACAAGTGTTTAGCACATGTTTGGTCAGAGGATCGGCTTGACTTGTCTCTTTGACGA